AAACACATTGGATTATTTAACTATGAAAATGTCACCAGGAGCAGCCAGGTCTACCTGGACCTTTCTGTCTTTGTCTGTGCACCACAGACTAGCAGTTCACCAGCTACCCAGGAGCTATGTGATAGAATTTGGGATCACCCACTTTGGATTATACTTGAGGTGATATGGAGAGGTGGTCTCCCCTCCAAAAGTAAACTGGGTACCTGTAAAGGATTGTAGACTACCAGAACTGGAAACTACTACATCTTCTGATCACTAAATGCATCCCATACAGGTGGCAACAGCTCCACTTTGATCTACATAACTGCCAGCAAGGCTGCCCATCCATATCTTGGGAGAGACCTCTCCACTCTTGGATTTATGTATCACTTCAGTAAGTCGTACCTCCATAGAAGTATGGAAGTGCACCCACCAACCTTTTTTTTTTTCTTCAAGTTAGGTCCTTAGTGCTGGTGAGAATAGCCAGCTTGATAGCCCTGGAGACTGAAATTCTTTCTTTAGAAACAGAATTGGTAACAGCTCAGGCTGTAGCTCTGCAAGCCTCTACCACTGCTCCACCAATGTGCCTCAACTTTGAGCTGGAGGGCTCTCCTTCTTGCTGCAAATAACAGTGCCATTTTTCCTAGGGTGGTTGTTGTACAAAGGCCACACAAAAGCTCCTCAAGTTTCCTGCCCTGTGCAGAATACTAGGGCTCGAAGGCACTGACCCATGTAGCCCCTGCTTCAGTTAATATTTCTGTTTCAAGCTTTCATGGCCTCCCAAGAAAGTGTTACCTGTCATATTATATTCCTAGAGGCATACACATTTACTTGTCCAACAGGAAGGATGAACATCTTAATGGCTTACTGGTTCCTTCTAAAATGGGCATCATCTCAAGTTGCAAAAGTTCTTTTGACTGTGAAAGCACCTCTATATTGTTCCTTAAAGAACCGGGGTGTTTAGCAGCTGGGGTTTGGTCAGGCCCATCTCTGCTTAAAGCATCCTCTAGAGTAGTGCAATGGTTCATGAAGTTAACTATGTAGATCATCGTTGTAGTGGTTACAATATACAGACCATATATGCTGGCCATAGAAGCATAGGTATTGCTTTATAGTTAATTGAAGGAAAACACTTGTATTGACTTTCATTAGGTGGAAATGTGCAAAGTAGTAATGTGTATAAAGTGTCTGTTTTAGACTTAGCTTTTCTGAGGTTGTAGAATAGATTTTAAGCTTGGGGCCAGAACTGTATGAACCCAAATGGCACAAATAACCCTGGTCAAAGAAAACTTTCTGGATTTTTTTTCCCTCCCTCCACATTGATCCCATCAATTCTTCACTAAGAAATCGAAGGTAATCATATTAGTTCTAAAGCATCACAACAAGGATATTATCACTAGATGCAGACCAGATATGATATGGCTGTAAATGTGCAGAAGTGAAGATTTGAAAATGACATTTAGGCAACCAGCATCACTTTTGCACAGGGTCCAGCATGCAGTGAGACTGATTTATAGTATATCAAAAGTATTCAACCTAAAAGGCTAACCTAATATTTCCTCAAGTTAATTCCTGTGTGCCAGAAAATGATCATAATAGATCATTTTCCTTAAGAGATGCTTGTAGTATTTGTTTGTCAACATAAACATCAGAGACAGCCACTTGCAGGCAGCACATCTTTAATGAGCCAAAATGCCACATCATAAAAAAGTAGATGGTTGGAAACTATAGTGTTAAAGTTATATATGGTTCCATGCCCAAGCTTCTGTCTCCTGTACTGCAGACTCCAACCCTTTCAGTCCTTTGCCTGGAAAACATGGTGCCATTTTCAGGCTATTATGTCCTTTCTCTTTCCTCCAGAAAGCAGGAAAAACAAAGTACAAATGTTTGAAGGCTCTCTAAAGGTTGTCCTGATGCACCATGGATACGTTCACTTCTAACAGCACCAAATGAACAATACAACCTCTTGCATTTCCATGAAATCTGAGGTTAAAGCAGTCTACATTGCAATAGAAGAGACATAAGCCAAATACTGTTAACAGAACTCTGAGGTTATCTTTCACAAAGCTCTCTACAGTCTCAAAATGTGCTGTAAATATCTTGCAAATATTTCTTGCATAGAACCTCCCCCTAAATTCAGTCTACATTCTGAATTCAACCTGTTGCATGTTTATGTGGTTTGAAGGCTAAATTAACCCAGGACAATACCTAGCTCACTGGAAGTCTGAGACATTTAGCCAGAAAAAAACTATGTAAATTATATTAACACTAATATAGCATTTGTTCATTCACTAGTGACACATCTTTAGTATTGATGATAATGGTGGGGATATGTGAAACAAGGCCACTGCATTCGTTACAGGACAGATGAAGTCAGCATAGCTATTTTGTAATAAGGAATTTGCTTCTGGTATCTAAGATAACACTGCAGGGTAACCAGTGGTGAAGAATGACTTTTGGATTCTGTCCCCTGTACTTCTCATTATTTTAAAAAGAGAAATTAAGAAGACTAGTTGGTTCAATAATATTAGTCTTATATTGCTACAAACTGATTTTCACTGTTCCTCTAATTCCATTCATCCCTGGAACCTGTGCTTCAAGCCTCAAGATGGTCTTTCTTCCCACAAATTAAAATCAACCCCTTCATAAACTTAATAAAAATACAGATAAATATTAATCAAACTCCATATAACTTGTAAAGGTGCCTGTTTGAAAATGTTTTGCATTCAATCAAACCAGAGCTGTTAGTTTTGGCTACTTCACTGTTGTGAAGGGATAACATTGTGTGTGTGTGTCAATGCCCGTGCATTTGAAGTGGATGCGGTCAACTTGTTTTGGCCCAAACTTTGACAAACACCAACTGCGGGTGGGAAGTGTCTAAGAATTGTATCTGTATTTCTGTTATCTGCAATGCTATTATCAAGAAGTAGAAACACAATAGTTATATCCCACTAATGTTTTTGTTCTGCTACTAGAACAACTGTATTATCCACTCACAGGACTGTGTTGACATAGAGGAGGCTTTCTAAGAGAAAGGTAAATCTATGCACATTGGCTGAAATGCTATCATTAAAGGTCACTGGACATGGGCAAGGGTTTGAACACAGAACACTGAGGGATTTACACACCTGTGCTTTGCATTCACACACCTTGGGGATTTCATCTACAGACTTGCAATATTAATTCTTGCATGCATTTGATGTTATGTACCTGTGAGAAATCAGTGCACACCTCCCCCCCAGTTAATCAGGACTACAATTAGTGTCAGAAATATGAGGTTCCATATTCTGTAGAGATCCACTAGCTAGCTTCCCTTTTGAACAATAAAGCTTCAGGAGAAGCAAAAAGATCCTGGCTAAAACACCAAGTTTCTCATGAGAAAAGTTCCACTGAAGGTAGTGGAACTGCTTGCTTTAATAAAGGTTCACATATACAAGCTACAATGTACGCTTACTGATAAGACAAATACCAGCCACTGTTTCAAAAGGATATTTTCAAGAGGCAAGATTTATGCTGACAGTATCTTTTTTTTGAGCCAACTGCACGGTTGGGATAGACTTAGACAAGCTTCTGGGTACCACATTACCCTTCTCCTCAGGTCTCTGGGAGACAAACAGATGCTGGCAATTTGCCTTCACTTCTCACAAAAGAACCTTTTACCAGTCTGCCAGATACAGATTTGCCTGCTTAGCACTGCTGAAGCCAAATCACATTAATTTTTCTGGGTTTCCTTCCTGCCCCTAATTTTAAAGCAGCAGAATACCGATATCTCAATCTAACAAGGCACTTATATATGTGCTGATGATCATCTCTGTTCAGAAAGGCATTGAGGCACTTAGTTTAGTACATATTTAGTTCCCATTAAAGTCTATCAAAGTTCAGCACACATTTAAATACTTTGCCTCATTAGGCACTCTGCTTCCAGTAATCAGTAATTTCAGTCTACAGTGATACAGTGCAGCCCATGTTAGCTTTTAAATACTTCAAATAATAAGACTAATACATTGGCTAAAAAATATCTTACAGCGCCTGAACTCGAGTGCTTTTTAACATTTTAACTGAGATGACATGAGGCTTTTCTACATATAAATCCTTTGAGACTTGATTAAATGTGGTATTTATAATTTAACGTGAATTTTTGCAGCAGTTTTCTTTCATAGTTTCCTCTTACCATTCTAACTGGGGGAATAAGTTATGGGAATGGGAAAAAAATTCTAATGTTAAAAGCACATACGAAGAAAATGCAACAGAGCTGGGTGAACATTTTCTTTGAATTTTTTTTCAGTGAAAAATGCAAATTTAGTCATCAAAACTTGTTGCAAAGCCATCTTTGCGTTTTCAGTGTCTACTTATTAAAACAATTCAAACAATGTTTTTTCTGTTAAAAAATGTCAACAAAATGTCAAAACTTCTTTCAAATTTATTTACATGAAACAGTGATAATGCTCAAACCCTAAACAAAAAGTTTAGTTTTGCATCAAATGAAATCGTTCATTTGGCCCAAAACGTAATATTTACTTTTCAATGAATTAAAATATCTGAAGACATTTTTGAGCCTACTCATAATGATGATGTTATTTTTCATAACTGTCAGCAAGAAGAAAACTAATTTGTACAACTTTGGTGTGAAAGGTCCCTAAGCAATTTATAGGCATTCAAAGTAACTGTAGCAAAACAAGCAAGACTTTTTAAATGCTACCTCAGTTTCACTGACCTTCTCTGCTACTGGGAACCCATGACCTCTCTGGCATTAACCTATGCTAAATTAAAATTCTCAAAATAGAGTTATACCCATGAGTTGTTTACTTTTTCCTGTTTAATCAATTATCACTTTTCCGCCAAAGTACTTCCATAGATAACACTAGGGAGCCTGGTTTTCTCTGGTAAAAAAGTCCAAAATTCTCTGATTAAAAGCTCCCAAAAGCTGCATTTTTCCATGATTAAAATTAATCATCACTATCTATCGATCTATCTATCTATCTATCTATCTATCTAGTGATGTTTAATTTATATCTATCTAGATATAAATATCTATCTATATAGGTATCAGTTGAACACACTATTTTATTGATACATTTACAATTTTAAAGCTATTTGGAAGCTTACCAGTGCGTCAATCGCTATAATAAAATAGATTCTAAATACCTATAAATATTTTGGCATTAAATTTTGGTTTTTTTATCATGGACAAGTCAGAAATCCCTCTGCCCCTCCACACACCAGGATGCAGGTCAGCTGCGACGATGCCCCCCACCAATTTGTGGCACTGAGCAGCCCTGATATGCTATTCTGAAACGATATTCTTTAAAGGAGATGCTCCACATTTTTCCATGGCAAATAGAAAACCTGGATCCCTGGATATCACTGTATGCACTGACTTCCCTCACTAGAAACACTGCTTTCAAATGATAATCGTCTTTTCCTCTGTTCTCAAGGATTGAGTATGGTACATGTTGCATGCTTGTATCTTGATTGTAATCTAAAGCACCTGAAAGCTGTTGTTTTCCTTTGCCCCCTCCATCATACTTTGAGTGATAACATAAATCTACAGACGGTTACAAGTAAGAAAGGTGAGTAATGACCACTATTAGAGAATTAAACAGGGTACATCACCAGCATACCCCCTTTCTAGCATCAAGATATTACTCTAAAGTCCAAGTGAAACAATTTTTAATGTTTCTAAGGACCTCCATACATTTTTACCACCATACTGCTTTTTTGTCACCTTTTTTAACAAAAAATGTACAAAGTAGGGTAGGATGCTATTTTGTCAGTCATTCATTGTTCAGAAGAGAACACCTACAAAAGGGTAAAACCTCCTGAACTAAGAATAGTAACTTGTACGTATTGTAGAACACTGGTACAACTGGATACTGAGTTAAAGAGCAGACAACTGTTTGGAGAACTGGACAATCTGACTGACCAACTATTATGGCAGGTGGTAAAACAACTAGTTCTACCTCAAAGCTACACATTTGCTTGCGTAAAACTGTTTTGCTGCAGTTATTGTGCAAAAATTCAGGCACTAAATATACTTTATAATGGAGTTTAGTGGGGATACTACAAAGAAATCATTATTTCATCCAAAATACAATGGGAGGAATTTTAAAAACAGTATTTCACTTTCTACCCTAAGGCATCTTGTGTTTCATTCCTAGAGATGACTGCATCTTGATGACAGAGTGAATATTGCTTTTAATACATATACAGACAATGTATGTATTATATGTAAAATTATGTACACATAAGCAAACATACACATACGAAATATATTTATAAGGTTATTTAGGATGAATGGCACTAAATACATTTATTAGGTTTTGGAATTTTCATTTATGAAAAAAATGAAGTAAATATGACAAATTTTCTTTTTGTACACAGAGAAAAAACACTCTAAATCTGGAACATTTTCTTACCTCAATATCTTCTTTGTAGCAAAGATACAACTATGTAACATACATCAAATACTGTTTATTGCAGACTTCCAGCTGATTAATGTGAAAAAGGCACTATGAAAATTAATTAAACTAGATGATTAAATCTTTCTAAATGAAGTGATGATCTTTATACAAGAGAAATTATAGAACATTGTGACAAAAATCAGTGTTTCCAAAAATAACATTTGCTGGGAAGAAAGTTTTTCCCCTTCAGAATCAATCATTTTTTTTTCAAAAGATTAAATTTATAAAGAAACAAATAGCTTTTTACATACATAAAAATTGACATTTATGATCAACACAAAAAATCTGGATTATACTCTTCTTTTAACTAGTTTTGTTACAAACAAAAATGTAAGTCTATTAAAAAAATACTGTAAATACCTTTATGGCTAGGTCTGACCACTTCAAGCTGACTTGTGGGTTTACTATTTTCTATTCATTTTTACTGCGTAATATCATGGTTTGTCATCAAAGTAGTAGAAATAAAATTAAAATGCAGAATATTATTTGCTTTCAACAATTTCATTAGTAATAAAACATCTTGCGGATGATACAAGAATAAGTCAGTCTACATTTCAAAGGCTTGAGCTGCTGCACTTATTCTATGCATTTCATCTTTGATTGCTGGCATCAAGAACTTTTAAATAAATTTAAACACCCTGCAGTATGACCCTGCATAGGAAGAGGAAGACCGAGCCAAAAAGAAAGAATCGTACATATATTACAGCAACAGACAGAATTCAAAATCATAAATTACTGAAGGGTTCAAGTACATTTTATTGCTGGCTCAGCTTCATTGGAATGAACCAAAAGCAACATTGTATTTATTTATCTGTAAAGAGAGTATGAAATGGTAAATTCCACAAAGGCAAACTTGTCTTTGGGAGTAACTGATTCTCAAGTGCCGCAAACTTCACTTAACTTCCATTGTGTTTACTTTTTTAAATGGTGAGAGGCTGGCAGCAAGTACTTCTATTGACTGGCTGCCTTGTTTCTATATGGCGACAAGTTATATCTATCTACAAAATAAATCAGACATCCCTGTTCATCGCTTCCTAAAACAAAGCTTGATGGAATAATGCCAAGGACAATGAAATCAAAGGAAAAGACTCAGTGCCCACTTCCTTCATCAAAGGATTCTACTCCTGAATCTGTGGCAGTTGCACTGATTTTTTCTTGTCGTCTTCTCATAATTTCTTGCAATTCTGAACTACCACTGTTAGCCTATAAATGAAAAACAGAAAATGGGGTAAATGTGTGATACTAGTAGATAACACTTCAACAATAGAAGGAGGAAGGTATGCAAAGTTAGGGTCTGTGTGTGAAGTCATGCATTCATATAGAAAATGCTCCATTCAACGTACCACTTGTGTGTGTGTTCAGGTGGTATTTTGGACAGGGATGGACATATTTTCTGAATGCTGCCAGTCTGATTTTCACTACTGTTGAATATCTAGCTCTCACTGAAGCCACTGAGTGCTACTGAGTACACAAGAGTGAACTCCTGACCCCAATAAAAGTCAACAGTAAATTTCACTCTGGGTGAATTTCACCCCTTATAATAAAAGATCTCTTCCTATTTTTTTTAACGGGTTTCCATGTTAGCAGTTTAGCACCTTGTCACTGTGGTTTGCACTAATGCATGGCTTATCATTAAGAAAAAAAATAGTGTGAAATGTTATTTACGATTCTACTTCTAGGTTGGAAATTATTATAATGTTGTTTTTCTGCACTCTGTATGGGTATCACAGTGCATGTTAACTAGATGGGAGACTTCCACATTTTATAGCACTTCAAATGTGATTAATAGATTGAAAAAGTTGGATGCGAACCCATGATTTACTTAGCTATGTAACAAAATTACCTTACAGCAAGATCTATATCTTGACCTATGTGCCTTTTGATTTTATCAGTATTTTTCTTATTTAAAGTTGGCTAAGTTATGAAGAAGGTTAACAATTCTTGAATTGGTTCCTAATGCTAGCCCCTTACTATCCTAATCAGATACATTACAAGGCATTATCCACTAAGCTTTTTGGCTTTGAGTTAATTGTGGTTTATTTATTCATTCATTTATTAGATGTACAGGCCACCCTCCACAGAAAAGGCTCAAGACAGGTTTGAACAAAGTAAAATTAAAAGTAGAGAACCTGGGTATTGTTTTCAAATTTAAGGGTTCCAACTTTTGTAGCCACACCAATAGTCTCATTACAGAAGGTTTGAAAGCACAGAAAGCACATGGATTGAAGTTGTTCTATTCTGAGGGTAATGAGTAACATAAACCAAGAGATAATATTTTGAACTTGTGCAATACTGTACACAGCTCAAAATTTTTAAGTACTTGACAAAAAACTAAGAAATGAACACACAACATCACTGTGAATACAACACACAACTTCACTTCAATAAATAAGAAAATGGAGACCTGGAGAAATGAAAAGCCAGATTCTTAGCTGGACTACATTTTTGCAGAGCATATATTAAACAATCTGATTTTAACCTCTCTGAAGAGCCTGTCCTGTGCCCGAGATGTTGCTTGCCTAATCACTAATTGCAAAGTTATCTTTGAGCTGAGAATGACATAGTCTTGGAGCTGTGAGCAGCACTCTCTTCTCCATTGTACTCTTTTTCTGAGAACTGAGCTCCGAGGGGTTTGCTGAAGTCATCTGGCAAAGCTGTAAATAAGTGAGATCTCCCAACTGACAGCCCTTGACTATGGGCAGAGAGCCATTCTTTTTACTTCATGTTCCTCAAGACAGACCACTATGCTTCAGAATTACTCTCTTAACAAAAAGTCACTTAAGAAGGGAAGGGAAGAGAAGTGGTGCTCGCTCCTACCCTGGGTGTCTTCAAAAGGAGGCTGGATAATCACCTAGCCGGGGTTGTTTGACCCCAGCATTCTTTCCTGCCCATGGCAGGGGGTCTGCTCAGGTCCTTTTCGACCCTACCTACTATGAAATTATGAAGAAAATTAACACAACAGAAAGAAAGTTGGTACAGTGAAATAATTTTAAGAAACCATTTACCTGCTGCTATGGAATAACAGGAAATCCTAAACACCTACCTTCTCTTTCCTCCCCCGACCTCCCCTCTACCCCCGAGTCTTTAATTAGACCATACTTATCTAATGGTTCCAGGAAGGCAATTACAAGTTTTGCTTTCTCTTCTGCTTTTGAATTCTAATTTAATTCAAAGACTGAATTGCGGATTTTCAGTCAGTCATCATTAAAAGAATGAACAGAAACCTCGGCAGAAGATAAAGCACAATACTTGTGTAAATTTTTGCACTTAATGTTTTGGTTTCTCCCCCCTCCCCACTTTTGGGTACAATAACTACTGAATTCCAACCACCTCAGATAAAAGTATTACTTTAATGGCTAATTGACGAGTTGGCCATGAGGGGGGGAAATGTAATATTTAGTTTGAGAGCACAGTGGTGAGAGTGCTAGGAATGGCATGGGATCACAGAGAAGACCAGGATTAAGAAGTTTGTCGAAGAGCATGGGGAGAAACAGTCCAAAGGAACTTGGCAGGAAGCTTTACTGAAGTCATTACTATGTTGCCTTATTCTGTCTCTCTACAGTACTATTTGTATCCACATTAATTTCAAAGAGTCAGTTACTGTGATAATGTTCCAATTATTAGATATGGGATGCTGGATCTAGAGTAGACTGAATCTACTCATCTATTGTGTTTGTTAGCTCAGTCTCCATGATTAAACTTACATGCTAGTGGCTATTCATATATTTATAAAAGTATGTATTGTTCTTGAATAATCTGTAAAATAAGGGTTATGTGAGTTTAACATGTTTTAGGCAGTTTCACAGGCTTCTATTTGAATTGCTTCTATGTTGAGTAACATTATATATTAGATATAGATATTACCATATTTTATTACACACAACATGCCACAGAAGATATGCAGTTTGTTTTTGAAAGGTACAATGAAGACTAAAAATATTTTCCTTGTAGTAAGTAACTGAGTAGCAGCAGCTATGGGGCTGAGCCTGCTCACTGTTCTGCTCGCAGTGGATCACATGCAGACTCACTTTTGCTTTTGTAAAGCAAAAACATAAAGCCTAAGTGGCAGAAAGTTCTGTTACTGTATTCTCTCACTTATAATGTACACCATGATTTCCATCAGCTGGTTTTTAGAAAAAAGGCACAAGTTTTATATGAAAAAATGTGGTATTTTTTTCCCCCAAAGAGAAAAAGAGCTCATTTTTAGGCAGAAATGTCAGAAATGGTAAGTGTCATTCAATTACAATAAGTTTTATTTTATCAGTTGGATTCCTTTAAGTGAGGACACACTCAATTTATCTGATGCAGAACAGTTTGATATGCACAGAAAAATATAAGGTTCCTTTAGTATAATCAAGTGTTCCCAGGGGAAAAAAAAGAGAGTACCTTGAAGTCTGAAAGAAGGATTTTGATTTTAAAAGTCGCATGGTAAGTCAAATGCAGGCTAGATTTTAATGACTAAATCTTATAGGAGCCGATAGAAAAAATAAACAAACTTTATTTTCAAACTTCCCGTATCTGTGTATTAACACTCTTCAGATAATCTTATTAAATAACCCCTGGCCACTCAAAAAAGAACGGAAGCCAAAGACAAGTATAAGAAAGACCCAGAACACAGAGGGAGAAACAACAGACATCAACAAACCAGATACCCATTTGATTTTTAAATTAAGTTCCAATGAAAATAATGGCACTTACGTAGATGTTTACAACTACAGGACTACATCTGTTCACAGCAAAACACTACAGCTAATTTAACACCCTGCAGGACACTGTCATACCTTTGGCAGCAGAGGCTATTAGCAGGTCCTTTGGGGGTATTGCTTTTGTACAGGGTAGAGTTTAACTGTTATTTCCTTGACCTCCTCCCTCAAACTAGCGCCTTTTAAGACACATGGGACAAACATTTGTCTAATTCTTGTTCTAAACATCTTGATCTTTTGCCATTAACATGATACATTAAAAACTGGATATTCCTACATCTTAATATGCATTGGAAATTTCACTTTGATATGAAAAATATTGCAAAAATAAATGGGTGCAGAACTCATTTAAATAGCATCTTCTGTCTCAGTTACATCTCAGGGGTTGAGATGGGGGACTTGTGTGAAATTCAAATAAAAATAGTGAAGCTTTAGGCAGAGACACCAAGCCACAAAAAAGTAAGCCCTCCCACCACCCTCCCTGCTTGAAATGCCTGAAGAGACTGGATTACACCACAGTGATAGTCTATCCATGGAAAGAAAAACCTTTTTAAAAACATTTTAACCTATGTAAAACAACAATGCTGTCTGATCCACACTGACCTAATTGTCTAGGATTCATTATAAAAAAACCCTTAAATTGGTGTTTGAAAACAGTTCTCAATCTTCCCTGGGCATGGACAAACACACCTTAGAACTGGCTTTAAATGGGGAGGGGTTGATACAATCTAGTTATTACATTTTAATGCTTTCATACTGATACAAATTAGTTAAACTACCCCAACTTTCGCCTTTAAGAGTTAAAGCTGCAGCAGTTTTACTATGCTGGTATTGTCCCAGAAATATTCAGATGTAACAGCTGCATCGTACCAGCATATACTGATGTCCTTTGATAGTGATATAATGTTATATCAATCTATACCCTCATTCTTGGTTTTATACTTGGGCTGAGATACAAAAATAAAATAACTTAAGCCAGTTAACCACAAATTCGTGGAGGATAGAGACAGCAGGAGGTAAGCAATACAGATGACCTCTTTTTCAGTTTACTCTACCATTATTTCTAGATTATAGTCAAGAAACCTTCCCTCCCCCGCCCCAATTAGATTGTTGCAGCTAATCTATAAAGTAGGTGATGTTCACATATTTCCCTGTTTTAACTTGTTTTATTTTCTGCTCCTTTACCGTTTGTCCATGTATTTTCCTTCCTTACCTATAATAAAAAGGGTGGATGTACCCAGCTCTCAAGCAAACACTTCCTGGCAAAATGCTGTTTAGCTCTGTGATAATATTCCTAAAGAAGTATGGCCGCACTGAACCAAGTACAGTTAATTTTTTCTGTTACTTACATATTTATCCATAGTTTTAGTACTACACAAGAACAGAATTCCCACAGCATTAGGAACAGCTCTTCTAGATATGCTGATTTTCAGCAAATTTAATATTCATGTCAAGTGCTAGACTGATGACAAGAATAAATTCACTAGATGGGGTAGCATCAATGCATACTTGCTTCCACCATTTAGTTTGTGTGCATCAGCCTAAAGCTGGAAGAATTACCAGATATGACAGATTTCATTCACCATCATTTCCTTATATCTTAATTTTTGCTTCATTCCTTCTAGCTAGGGGTACCTACATATATAAAGTGGCTGGATGGCTAACACGTGCCCAGTATTATCAAACACACCATGCCTGCTAACCTTCCCGACTGTGAATCCTTAGTGCAATGGTGCTCAGCCTCCAGCCTGCAAGTTCATCTCTTTGTTTAATGCTGCTCCTCTGCTGCCAAATTTCCAGACCTTTGGGGAGCCCTGCAGGCTGGATGACATGATCCTACATGTTGGATTGCACCAATGTGCAGTGGAGCTGGTGCACAGGGTTACCCTGTGGCCAGATCTGGTGCCTGGGGTCAGGCCAATCTGGCACACAGGGTTGAGACTGGAAGGTTGAGCACTGTTATCCTGGTGGATGAAATGTTCTGACAAGGGAGACTTGCAATCTATAGCATCTGTAGTTCATGAAAGGACAGACAGGAGAATAGAGCAGAGAACACTGAGGAGATCAGGAGGAAGATGAGAAACCCCTCTGATGTCAGTCAGAAATGCCATACTGAGTCAGGCTAGGGATCCTGTTAAGATGAGATGCCTGAGACAAAGGTAAAAGAGGACTAGTTACCAGGAAGAGGAGCCCCATTTTAACTCCTAATAGTTCAACTCTGCTGAACAATGAATATTTCATGATTACCACTTATTATTTACTGTCTCAACACAGGACTGGTAGGGGCTTTATGAACTATCAAATCTAGTCTTCCATGTTCACAGGTGAGCAATTTTATTCCAAAGTTTCATACGAATGCCTACTCTGATCCCTCTTGCATGCCCAGGTATAAAACACCTGATTAAAAAAAAAATACCCCTATGATATGCCAAAAGTAAAAAGTAGAAGAGTTAAGAGGGATTATTCATACCTCTAATGCAGATTTCTGTACAGTAATTTGGCTGTAGACTCTAGGTCCTTCTGGGCAAACACTCTTTAGTTCCTCTTTATTAAGGGAGAAAAGCTGAGCACCTGTCAATACTCCCAGGCTATTGACAGTCCTGAAAAAGTCACAGAGTCAAAGAATGAGCAACACAATATTCTACATAAAGCAAAATAGGCAAAAATCTAGCAGTTGAGTAACAAAGCAGGAACCTTTTAACCTATATAATGCCAAATTAAGGTATATATTTTACATCATGAGCTACTTGAGATTGATTTGGCCAAATCAAGTAATATTTGCTAGGACTATGCGAGATGCTGAAAGTGCTGTCATCTGGTCCCAGTAAAGTAGACCTTGGGATGAGAAAAATAAGCATGCTGTAAAACTTAGCTCATTTTTGGTAAAATGTATGTCTAATATTTTAGATCAGGGTTTTATGATTTAGTAGGACAGCAGTTAGTGATCACCTTGTTGATTAAAATAAGTGTAAACATGCCTAAAAAACACAGATCATACTTTTTAATAGTTTTTTTAAAAACGTGCATCATTTTGAGAGTGTGCTTGCTCAACACTTTCAGAAAAAATCATCTCAGGTTGGACAGACAAAACTGTTGCCTATCTTTGAAATCTTAGCCCATTTTCCTTTAAATTCTGAATAACAGCTTTTTATTGCAGTTCATCCTCAAACTTACACAGGATTGAACCCCTTTGACTGTAACCATACTTTCACATCCTCAGGAGAAGAGTCATAAGTGATATTAACTATTGGTACATTTGGTCGTGGCACGTGGAACTTCTTCTGAGCAGCACTCCGGCCAATTGTAAGTCTGTGAATAAGCTCATCCTGTACCTCTTCCATCTGAGATTTCCTACCTAGACAGAGATAGAAAAGAAAAACAATTGAACATGTTGGAGTTCATTTTTAAGGAATCTGAAGAAGTACAAGTCATTTCCCCTGCCTCTGTGGCCTCTGCCACACATTACATATATTACGCAATTAACTGGTTCATCATGCAATAAATTTAAACTGGCCACATATGCAAAGTAATTAACAAGCCATAAAAATATCTATCCAGCTACAGTAAGAATCAGCTAGCTACAAAGTTAGTTCTTGAAAATGCGTAAAAACTTTATAGCTGGTTTCTATCTAACTTTAATTTGAACATGTAGTGGACCCCTTAGAAACACCTTATTCTGCACCTAAAAGGTGCAGAGCTCACTTAGAGCTAAGTGACAGACGTTCTCCTCCTACAAGGATAAAATTCTGATAGAAATTAAAACAAACAAACAAACCATAGTTACTCAAATATAAGATGAGGTTTTTCTCCTGTCAACAAGGGGAAACCCCCCCCCATCTTACATTTGTATACAAGGAAACCTCATTAAATGCAGTACCTGTCTTTGAACTGCTCATAAAAGCAGATTGTGCTCAGTAATGGAAATCAACTATGAAGTTGATTAAATGCAGTCAACACTGAGCAAGTCTATAAAACACATAGCCCATTTTGGGCAAATGTACTGATGGAAACTTTTTTCTTTTCTTTTTTTTGTGTGGCCCTTAAACCCCACCCCCTCATTGGGAGTTGCTCCCCCAGGAGAGACATGACACTGGGCCAGGAGGTACTGCAAAACCAGGCCAGCACTGAGAGAGCAAATATCTGGCAAACGTCACCAAACAGGACTCCAAACAGTTAACCCAGAATCCCCCTTTCTCAGCCTGTTGCATATGATTAGTGTGGCCCCATCCTCCACAAGGTGAAGCTGGACCAGGTTGCATCTGCATAGGTTGCCCTATCCCTCATCTGTAAATTTTTGTAGGATCTCAGGTCTTATAACAAAAACACCCAGGTCCAGCCATGAGTGGGGTGGGGGGCAGCTAATTATCACATGGATCCTTTGCTGGGTGGGGAGGGGAGGGTTCCTGGAGTACACACACACACACACACACACACACACACAGCAGTGCTGAGCTGTGGGGTCACCAAGGCTTGTAATGCTGTTGTTTTTGGTGGGGCCCAGCCCAATGAACTATATGATAAATCCCTTTTGTCTCTGGACTAATATCATGCATAGTTCATAGGTGCTAAAAAGCTACTTAACAAGTGTGTTTATAGAGTACCTGCACTAAAACTTACAGCAGTTTAAAAAAAAAGATAAAATTCATCATTTCCAGGTCAACGAAGTCTATGGGTACTATATGCAAATTGATATAGCTATGTTTATTTCAAGGTCAGTGCTTTCAAATTTGTTCCTCATTTCCATGTTGTCAGGAAGAGCAGGGTCTGACAATAAGGACAGAGGAAGGGACTGCAGGCAGAAGAAGTTGTGGGGAGGCATAGAGCAAAGGGGCTACCTGACCTCCAGATTTATTTTTCCTGCTGTAGCAGTGGGAGATTGGCAAATTCAAGACAAATCTCTAATAATTAGATTCTATATCTGGAAAACTAAAACAAATTTATAATCTAAATTATAGATTAGACCCCTCATAGAATCTAATTATTGGGGGGTCATTTTATAGTCAAGTTAATACAGTAATTTTATTCTAAATTTTCAAGAAGGGGGAAACTGATTCTAGAATTCTGAATATTGAAACTATTTCAGTCAAAAAACAAAAGTGGGGAGCAGAGAAGTTGTATGTAGAGGAGATAGTTGTATAAAGAGGCCAGGCCATAGGGGCATGATACTGAACTACAGTATTTTTAAACAAAATATTTTTAATTCTTGACGGATTGAAAAAGAGAGAAGATGGAGAAAGTGAATGCTTTTCGTAAAAACAATTTGTTGAATTGAAAGCTCATTTTTTTTGGTTGAAAACCATTTTGATGTAAAGTTTTCTATCCACTCTGTTGTTTGCTGCATTGTAGTTGCACTTGATTGGTAGTAGCACTTATGGCTATCATTTCAAGAGGTGTTTTAGAAAAGTCATTAATATCACTCTATCAGCTACTCACACTTAAGGTGTACAATGGTTAGCTTGTTTGGGATCGCTATTGAAACTTTACAGGGAAGGTAATGAATCTTACTAAAACAGTGGTAGATAGGGGAGGGGGAGGGCAGGCGGCTGCTATGGCTCCAGCTCCAGTGCCTGCCTGGGGTCAGGGCCCATTGCAGCTGCTGCCTGCCACCCTCCCCAGCTCTCTGCATCCTCCTCACCCCCACACTCTTTGCTCCCCCACCTGCCCCTCTCCTTCCCCCCTTACCTTTGCTCCATGTGGGCAGACTCTATATATGCAACAGCCTAGGGCTCTCAGCACACTCTCAAGCCCAGCCCTGTAGCAGTGGCACATAACCCACAGGGCTGCTACAGGGCTGGGCTGGGACAGGACCATGCTCCATGCCTCAGGCTAGAATGGGGACATAGCCTGTCTCAAAGCAGAGGCAGAAATATGGCAAGATTTTATGTAAGAAGTGTCTTATTCAGGTATGGAACTGCCTCACTCCCTGCTCAATTTGGTTGATTAGATGGGATTTTAGTATTAAATAGCACAGAAATCAATTACAACTATATGACAGTAGAAGTCAAATATTTCACAAACAGTTGCATGAAAATATGTGATTTTTAAGATGTTACATGAAATGGACAGAATTGGGGAATATATCTCTTTCTTGCTGTTTGAAGATACTTACGATCAACAGAAAGCTGTTTGTGTCTCTGGCTATCCCGTATAATGCCACTACCACTGTCACTAGATGTGCTGCTTTGGCGACTGATAGCTCCTGGTGCTTTTGGCACAGGAACTGGAATAGGAATAGGCGCTGGTGCACAGGGAGGGACAGGAACAGGAATGGGAGCTGGTGTTGGAGGTGGCGATGGAGCAGCAGGAGTGGGATCTGATTGTTTTGGACCATACTCTGCCCTCTGTTTCTGAAGAAATGAAAACAAACCATTAGTTTTGCATACTACATTGTTCATGAGTTCACAAGGTATCTATGATTCTGACCTTCTGCAGAGAATTCCCCCCACTTCCCATGATGTTCTGCAAGTAGAGCTCTCATTTAATTCCCAAGAGCAATATTACTTATCAACAACATTTTTGTAGTTTGCCAGTCTTATTTTGACATCAGTATGGTCCATGTTGATCTGCTTCTCTCTGTCAAATTCCTTACTGTAAGCCCAGCTTCAGCTTAATATCAGATTACCCCAAAATTCATTTGTTTCCTGTAGATATGAGATTTATACACAACTAATTTTTTCTTAAATTCAAAAGTTCTATTACCTGGAGTTTTTGATCAGCCTCTAAGACATTTGAAAATCTGGACTTTATCAGAATAAAGCACATATACTAAGCATGTTAAACAAGCAAGCAAACAAAAATCTAAGACCCCCCACTAAGTCTCAAGAACTCTTGCCTTCGAATGTCACTGAACCAGCTCTTTGCAGATGACTATAACAGGCCAAACCTAAGCTCATAGATCTTAAAGCTGAAAAGGATTGTTACAGTAATCATATCTGTCCTGCTAAAGAAAAACAGCCAAAAGATTTTGCCCAATGATTCCTGAATTAGACTCAACCACTTTTGATTAGCATCTATTTATTTTGGAAAGATATCTAATAATTCCCAAATTTGGAAGAAGTCTGGGTTCAGAGCTGAACTCTGCGGCTCAGATCAGCCTCCTTAAAACAAGTCTAAATACAGAATGGTATGCAATGTGCACATTTGTTTTAATTGAGGGAACAGTCAGATGGACTATGTACCATAATGTAAAATGGGGCAGGGCTTTCCACCAAGCACGTAAGTTGCTGTGTGGTAATGGCCTGGGTACATATATTGTCACCCTATAAAATGAAGTTAATCCACAGTAACATAACCCTCAGTGAAAGAGCTAAACTACGGTGATTTAAATTTTCATCTACTGCCAAGTAGGAGCATGCCTATGGGCCACTATCACATGACTTTACCTTGTCCATTTTTACTCCATACCTTGAGACTGATGGGCACAAAAACTGGAGCAAGAGATTAGGTGGCAATGCGAGAGAGACTAGATGTAAGAAATTTAAACATGTGCTCTATTCATTCTTGATTTTTATTGTTTTCTTTTCTCTTTTATTTCAATGTCTTACCATAATGATGCCCCTGCTGGGTTGTCTTAAAATTCTGGCAAGCTGTTGGATTAGGTTAGGACAATTGCAATACTTCTCCAAGTTCACCCCTCTCCCAGCACCAAATAGTAAGAATTTCCTAAAAGGGTTTTCCAGAGAAGCAAAGTCCTGGATTTTCATTATTTTTCCCTTCCAATTTTACAAGCTCAGCTATTCCACTTACATACTCATAGTCAGTAGGACTAAAGTATTAATTATTTTAAATCTATATCAAGTTTATTTGCATAATACCGATACTCCCCCTGTGCAGTTACAAGGTGCCATCTTATCTGTAGTATCAAAACAAGTGAGTTGATTTTCCAGGCTTCACTTTTCCTTCCTGAAATACCCACATCTGTTCCCTCAGGGGCATGGCACTTATGACAAATAGGAAAGTACTTGTGGAAGCCATATGTTACTATATTAGCAACACATCATTGCCTTAACAAGTCAACCTCTCATTAATCTTAAGCAACTTCCCCACGTGCAAATCTCAAATTTGAAAGATTTAACCATAAAATATACCCAACCAGGTGCTTAGCCAGTGTAAACTGGCCTGGCTCTGGCAGAGCCACACTGATTTACAACCTGTCCTACAGGTTTCAGGGAAAAGTGTAAATTGAAAAAATGCTTTTTGTGGGGAGAAAAGGAAGCTGTTTTTCAGTATTTATAATGACCAGTTATGAAAATAACAAATCTTTCTAAATATGATCCCCCTAAAAAAAGTTTGGTAGTTTAGTACTTTGTCTCACAATTATTTTTTGTGCAGGACATGCAATCTATTATGAGGAGGTTATTGGCATTCATTGACATGTAATTCTCATGCTTGATATTTTCTGTGGTATATTTTCTGTGGCAATTCTTACTTTCAAATATGTAATAAAAAAAGCAGAAACTGAGTATTAAATAAAACAAGCAGAATAATGTGCATCCTACAAAACTGCTGGGAGCAAAGTGGCGAATTAATACATCTTCAGTCAAGTTAGTCAATGTAAGTGGTTCATAAATATCAGAGTAAAACGTTTTTAATTAAATAATTAAATCAAGCTCACTGACTCAAAAATGCTAAATTGCTATGCCCATTTTATTTTCACATGGCACAAGGAAAAACATTGCTGCTTTGATGATGTTCATTAAAAAGCAAATATTGCCTGTGCGTCATTACCACAGTCAATTCTTTCATCTCAGTGTAAAGATAGCTAAATACTATCAGCAGCTCTTATGCCAACACTGGATAACTTAACCATTAAATGGGCTATGCTAGAAGCACAAGGCCCACAAAAAGATGTACTATCAGTCTGATATTTGGAAAGAACTAAAACATCACATGGAAAATAATTCATGTTCTGCATTTTGAGATAGCACCAGGCAGAAACATGCTACAACATGCATGTGGCTGTGCATTATAATGCCTTCCAATTTTGTTTAAACTCAAAATATTTTGGAGTTCTGCACATTCCCTAGGTCATCGTCATTATGAAAGGAACAAATACAGCATCTTGGAAACTGCAGCCCAAAAGATTCAGCCTACAAAAAGACACTTTAGTAAGTCAATGTCAGATAATAGCAATTTATGTTACCTCTGCAAGCTCTCCCAGTAATTGCTGTGAGGAAAATGGAGTAAATCACATCAAATGAAAATGTTAATATGCTGTCAAAATGTCAACCACATCAGAAATTTAAAAAAGAAACACAACCCTTTGGTGACATTAATTGCCTATGGGGATATCATATTAGTATTACTATAGGGGTATAGATATGCCAGTAAATTTCCTCCATACAGGCAAGCCTTAAGGTGTATCAGTATAAAACATATTCACAACAGGAGGTATACCACTTTAACTTTACTGGGTTCAAACCAATATAATATAAGCAGTAACAAAACCTGCGTGTAGAGCAGCCCTGTGATGCGTTTCCCTGGCACCAACACAATCCAAATTACATAACAGTAACTAGGTCAGGCTGTCAAAGATAACTAGCAGCAGTGGGATGGCACCAGCTGTTTCTTGAACAGTGGCATAGGACACAGAATGGTGAAAGGAAATGCCATGATGCCAATAGAAGTAGCTAAGGAGAATCAATGCAAATCATGAACTGGAAGCAGAAAAAAAAAAAACTTTCAAAGCAGAAGCCCTATTTTGTACAAGCCTAATATATTAAACTACAAGCAAATCAACTGTACTACTGGAACACAAAATCTTTAAGGCTGTACACAGAGAAAAGAGCCAAGAACAAAAGTAGGGAAGGCAAAGGCAAGTGCAAAATGGATGTCAGCACACACTACTCTGTTAGGGCAGTTACAAGAAAAAACCCTCAAAGTAGCATTTTGTTTTAGAGACAGATTATTTGCAATAACAGTCTTGTTCTCACACACGGCATTCTGCTTCAATCGATCGGCTAATGCTTCACAGAGCTGACTTTATTGTTCAGATGCATCCATGTGTGAAGAATAGAAGGTGTGTATCTATGTGTAAACACATATACATACCCCCTCACACATACACACATGCATGCTTACACAAGCACACTTTGGGCCCCCCCAGATTACTAACTACTTTTGAAACGATAGACAGCAATCCTTTTCACGCTACCAAGCAGCACCATGTAACAAATAGGCAGAAAATGAAAACTGTAGACAGCTGGATCTGGAAGGAAATCTAGACAACTTAATTAAGCAAACAAACTAGCCAGGATTGTCAGGATTAATTCCTCATTTCTCACAAAAAAGTACCAAATGGGAATTTTGACCATCATCAGCGACCAACGTGTTTTGACATAGACAACGACAATTCCATTAGCCAAATGCCCACAAATAATAATTCAGGACTGGAGCAGTACAGAGTTGGATGGAAATATAGTACCTTCTCAAGCACTAAGAGTCTTTTGGATGACAATTTTAGTGCTAATTATGAAAAGGTAAATGGATTCTGGTTTCCGGATAAAAATGACGACAACTCTTTGGCAACCATGAAATGGGCACCTGGCAAAAGGTGTACCTTCACTACAAGTATACTTCATAATCAGCAGTTCATACCAGCTGGCAGTAGATGAGAACATTATCATCTAGAGCATCCAGAAGACACATTAATTTTGGATACAAACTCTCAGTGGAAAGGGCAAGTCACATCTCCAAGAGAGATTTTAAGCGTGGGGCTTAACAAAAAGATTTGAATGAGATGCTCCCTCGGAGATTCCAAGGAATAGACAAGACATGCACCCTCCTCCCCCTGGTGGTAAATGGAATTCTATCTTGCTGCTTACGTGCCATCACAAAAAGGCCGCACATCTTTGTTGTTACAGTTCTCAGAATGACTGGTAAGAGTTTGAAACAATTTGTGTTAGGAGGTCATCAAGGTAATTTTAAAATAAGGCAAACTTTTCAGAGGCTTCAAGTCAATTGGACACAACTCCTATTTTCACAAATGACTTGCATACTTATAGGAGTGTAGGTTTTAGCCATGCTGGTCTAAGGACATAGGCAGACGAGGTTCTTTGGGTGAATCTGATATCTTTTATTAGACCAACTTAAATAGTTGGAAAACAATTATTAAGCAAGCTTTTGGGTTCAAAAACCCTTCGTCAGGCTAATGAAGTTTCAGCAGTTGGTGTGTGCTCTTCCTGGATGGAATGAAAAGTAAAGAAGCCAGCGGCTGGGCTGGTATGCATACAAAACAGGTAGTCAGTGAAAATGTAGATTGAGGAGTCAATGGGTGAGAGACACTGACTACCTGTCTTGTATGCATACCAGCCCAGCCGCTGGCTTCTTTACTTTTCATTCCATCCAG